ACCTGTAGTTCGAGGCAGTACAGATAGACTAGATATGATCGGATGTGTTGGAGACGAAAGGGATACCATGCAAATCTGCTGGATGTTTGCCTCACTGGCAGGTCGTGCCAGTGATCTCGGATGGTGCTGGGGAAGAAGGCAAGGCCAAGGCCAGCATCATTGACTAATCATTGCACCGAAAGGATCACAGTCTTTTGTTCAGAAGCATATTTGCAGGAATCAGTTGCGACGGAGAGCATATCATCAAAAGGGCGCAAAGGCGTTTCACTTGCCACGGAGTATTTCTTGCAAATCATGTTTGTGAATCGTTTGCTGCTTCTACCTCTTGAACAGATAGCTTTGGAGATGATGCTTGCAGCCCGGAAGACTGCATTCACCAAATTGGTCTCAGACTTGAGTGGCTAAGGCAAGCATTGACAGGGACATGTTGCAGCCTCGAGTCACTATGAGTCACTCAAAGATGGCCTCCAACCTATATAAGAGCGATGGCCTCCAACCTAAGAGCGATGGCCTCCAACCTACTAGCGATGGCCTCCAACCTAATGTGATCCCTCAAATTCTTCAAAATAAGGCCCACGCTCGCGGCACTGCGGCAGCGTTTGTATCCAAAGCCAGTTCCTCGGATCGCTGTCAGCCAAGAGAGAGCCGTGAAAGCAGCGAGGCGGAATACGCGGCAAGCATGAGGCCCAGACCGAGTGCATCCGAGTGCAATATAGTGCAAAGGATTATCATTTCGAACCAGAACAAAAGCCTGGGAGATCCTGGGAGCAATGATCCCAAGCAGAGCTTGTAGCTTGCGCCAAGGAAGCAGAGCCAGAGACACCGAGGTTTGTGCCTGAGCTAGCTTGAGGTCCTGCATGGTCGTGCTATAGCTTGCTTTTTGCTTTGATTTCACAAAGGCGTCGAGCAAGTCGATCAAATGGAAAAGCCCAAAGCCAGAAGCTTTGTAAGCTTTCTTGGACTCTTGGACCTGTGTATGTGACACACGTCACATATGCACTTGAGTAAATCTATGTATGCATGATGTTGCAGATGAGCATGTAATATATAGAATCTAACTCAACCCGCCAGATCAGCGCACACCGCGGGCTAGCTGAGCTGAGCAGACCCTAATTAAGCTTTGCAGGTCATTCTCATTGCATGCTTCGAAGAAATGAGCAGAGTGGCTTTGAATACTAGCTTGCTTGCGAGTGATGTTTGCACCTTCAATATTGTTCAAAGAAAACTAGCCCCTGCCCGTGTGAAGGCTTGGGTGCCTCAGATTTCTAGGAATCATTTCCTCCAAGCGGGCCCCTGAAAGGCCTATGCCATGCGTTTTTAGCCGTGAAATGATCGAATGTCACCTGTCTTGGCTCAAAGTATCGGTGCCTGAATGGTGCCATGGCTTGGGCAGATGAAGCTCGGTGAGAAGTGTAGAGCCAAAACCATGAGGATCATTCAAGATTGTGACTAGCACGATGAGCTTTCATTGCAACTTGCAACGCTTATTATATATAGATCACTTTTCCATTGATCTCGATTGAATCTCAGGGCGCCCTGCCTGAACGTAGTCTTGGCAGCTTGGTTGGGACTGGGCAAAAAAGGTTTCCGGATCCCACAGGGAGGGAGGTCCGAGTTGAGATGAGCACCTCAACTCAGTCTTTCCCATGAAAGGTAACGGGAAACAATCGCTGATCGCCTGATCGCCTTGGATGCCGCAACACACATTTCTTCAGCAATTCAAATCCACACCAAGCAACATCGAGTTTCAAAGTTGCATTGTTTAGTAGCACTTAACACCCAGGTTGTATTGCTGCTGTGGCCAGGACCAGCAAACGTCACAAGAGCGCACTAGACATCACTAGACTATATGTGAAGAATATTGAAGAATTGCATTATATATATATAACTTGTACGAATGATTCTTTTCGTTAGACCTTTGGGCCTTCTTTCTTTGGCTTTTTAACTTCTTGATCTCTGGAGGCGCCCAAAGCACAACACCATTGACGGAGAAGAGTGCAGCACTACGCAAGGCCCAGAAAAATCATGTGAGCTGAGCTTGTGTCGCTTCAGGTCGCTCAGAATTAGCGCCACTTCCTTCGCAGGTATCTCAACTTCTCCAAGAATTGTCTACACAGCTGGTAGATGATGCGAAGGCGTTCGATTTACGGATCGGGAGCAATATGTACATCCTACTCCTACTGTAAATACTTTGACCATGGCCTCCAAGAAGGCCAGACAAGCTGTCCAGATTGCCCGGAGGCTGATGCGAAGCAGTTCACAGACTTTCAAAACCTGACCTTGGCCACTTGGTTGCATCAAGTACGCTAGAGTTTCTGAGTTTAAAGACGTCTCAATGAGACCTGTGAATCAATGCAAGGCCAATATTGCTGCTGCCAATGCCACTGTCCAGAAGACAACAACAGAAGTGGCTGAGCTCAAAGCGTCCATTGCCTCAGCAGAGGCTTTCCAGGCATCACCAATTCACTTTGTTGGGGAACTTGAGATAAGCATGAGACAAGGTTGCCAGCAGTAGCAGTGTAACGGCCGGGCTCATGGGACTGTCAAGCATTTAGTCGTTTCTAATTCAGTGCCCACTGCTTGCAAATTCTTAGTCTGCAATCACAAGCTCAAAAGCAAGGTATACTCCTTCCATCTTCAGTATACCTCAGAAGATACTGCACGGTCAGAGGGCCAACCTGGAGCATTGGCGCAAAACGGGGGCGGAGATGCCAGGCGGAGAAGAAGAGCGAGCTGGCTGGTGCAGCCGATAGCCTTCTGAAAGCACAGCAGGCCGTTTTGAGGGGCTTGCGGTGAGCTGGCTGTAGAGCTAATGTACATGTCAGTATATTTTTGATTGCGCACGTGATGCGCAATTTGGAGTATGCATCATTTGCATCATAAGACATGTGGTATCATTTTGATTTAACAAGACTGCGACGCTGTACTGGAACAGCATTTGAAGAACATTGGCAGACAAAGCCAAGACTGAACATGTTAGCCGTAAGAAAAATCGAGTCCGGTCAAAGCATGGGAAGTGTAACTGTCGATGCAGTTCACAGATTTGGCCTTGCTCTTTGAGAAACAGCCAGGACTTGCAGATGGCGAAGCAGCAGCGCCTATCAGAGAAGGATGCTCTCTTCAGCTGTCTTTTTTTGGCATTAGACGAAGACTGCTCCAAGACATGAGCAACCTGGACCATCAGAGCAACTTCTTTGCTGAATTTGCTTCCCCCGTTGACAGAGCAACAGCTTCCCTTCAGGAGATGTTTGTCAAAAGCTCACAGAAGCTGCAGCGGCCCAAAGATTGGCTTTTGGGCTTTTTGCTTTTGGTCTCGTTGACGCGTAGCCCAGTTGGTAGAAAGCACAAAGGAGATGTCCTGCCAAGTGTCAGTGTCAATTGAAAGCTGAGGCAGCAGAGCGCTGAAAACCTGAACCTCGCTTTGGCAACAGTGAAGAGCACCGGGCTCAGACTGGCAAGATGTAGACTAATTGATGCATTTTTCCCATAAACCTTTGCACTCTGGGTTGCTCAGGTCTCTTTGGAGGCCGGCTGTGGCCAAAACTAGCTTAGTCAGCCTCAGAATGATCAACTATGACGACCCAGGTTCTTTGCTGCAAGACAAACTTCCCCAGACTGAGGGCATTGTCCAAGCAACGAAGCAGATCAGGAGACATGGCCTTGATTGCATGCTAGATGAGTTTTGTCAAAGTGGTGTAGGACTGCACTGAATGCTGGTGCCGACAAGCTTCTGACCTCGAACCAGTTAAGATCCCAAGATTTCGATTTCGTGGCTAACTGGATCTTTGAAGCGTGTTGAAGTAGACCGGCTTTAGTCAACATCTGAACATACATAAACATGCTGCCACTACTCTTGGACGCAAACTTATGAGGCAGCGTTTTCTGGCACGGTTGCTGACTGCGAGCAGGCCACAGAGCAACTGTATGCAGTCGCTTCTCAAACAAACTCTTTCTGGATCATCTCAATGAACAACAGTGCTAGCAGCGCTTTATTGCTTGATTCTGGAGCCTTTTGTGACAAACTACCTCGTTTTTGTTGGCAGGACTCCAAAGGTCAGCCAGGCACCACATTGGTTGCATATTTTGGCTTCAAAGCTTGCTGCATTTGAACATCGACAAAGCTTTCAAGAGCGTTTTTGGTTGAGGCACATCTTGGTTTTGGCTTTCTTCAGGTTCGACCCAATTCTTGTGACTCAAGTGCTCTGACTCTGTGCAAACGGAAGGACGTGGTCCACTGTCGGCGGCAATAATCTTGTCAGGTGAATCAGAAGCAGCACGGAAGTTCAGATGAGGTAGGACATGGTGCAGCTCATGCGTATCGTGTGCAATATGAGAAAAGACAAGAACTGTACATACTCAATCTATCAATTCTTTTTGCATCAAGAAGATATACTTTCTCGAATGTTGTGGCTTCACTATACATTGATGAGCATTCGTTTCAAGGATGAGCTCAGCGACCCAGACTCGGATGCTGGTGTTGGAGACCTGAAAGCGACCTTAAAGCAGGCACCAGAGCCACAAGTGATAATGCAATAAATGCCATATGCAGGCATCATGAGCGTTCAAGTTATTATCCGAATCTACCAAAAGCTTTCAATGTCGAACCCGGGTCCCACTTTGGGCAAGGTGAAAGAGCAGACAGAAGCCGAGATGACAGCAACACACCAAGCTGAATTGAAGTACTCTGGCCGCACAACAGTTTTCCACTGAGTTCTTGCATGTTCTTGCTTTGCGTACACACAAACACAAAGTATATATTTAGGATTTATGTGCTAATATCCAAGATAGACATGCACTTGCAGGATTTTACTGGCACCTATGTAAATTAATGTAAATTATTTTTGAAGATCCTGCAGTGCTTGGTGATGAGATGCACGAAGGTCAGCAGCAGCCTTTATTGCCCTCACAAAGTCGCTGGAAGATGAGCTTTGCTTTGCATTTTAACCTTTCAATTGCAAGACAATTGAAACGCACAAGATAAACATGAGTACTTCCTTTTGATGACAACAGAACACAAGACACCTTGGTGCTTGCCTGCCTTTCTGTCTGAGGAGGTGACTGCACGTCAAACAGCCTTGACGGAACTCAAGTCTGCAATTTCTTCATCTGAAGAGGTGACATGAGAGAGACGGCGACATGTGAAAGGTCTTTGACTCTTCGACAAACAGCCAAAGACCTTCTTGGCCCGCGGCAGTCCACGTGTCAGGCTGCTGGCAAAGGAAAAGGCGACTTAATCTATGCTACCAGGCGCCAAGAATATATATATATATATATATTTACGCACATCTCTGGAGATGATAGTTCGCACTAAAAATTGTGTTGAGACCAGCTATTGTGTGATTGCTGAAAAATGCTAAGGCCACAGTTGGAAGGACTTGACATTCTCCTGTGCCAGGCGGCTAACGGTGACCAATCAACAATTGGTCCAACTCCAAGTCGATCTCAAAGACAAGACCAAGGCTGGGCAATGCTTTCCTGATGCAGACAGAAAAAGGGAGGGAAGATGCCAGGACTACGAGATGCGAAAGCAGTCTAGAAAGAGCGAGGAGGATGTGATCAAAGAGGCAGAGATTCTTCTGATGATTTTGTCAGCAGAAACATGGGTTCGGCTTGGAGTTGTTGAGATCAGGCAGTGAGGATCTTGACGAAGTCGGATGCCACTGTCACACTCTCATGGCTCACATCGCTCAACTTGATGCAAGCAAGTACTCAAGGTACTTTTGCAACTTGTTTGCATCAGGCAACCAGCTTCATACAGCTGGAGCAATCCTCTCAAAGCAAAGTGGCTGGCCACTCAGTGGTTCAACGCCACTCTGTGGAAGAAATGCCTACTCTGAAAGGTTTACTTAAGACTTAAGCTTGATATATCAGATATGGTCCTGATATTGTTCAATTTTTGAGCCTTTCTAAAAGCTACTAGTAACAAGTGCATCGCTACTGCTAGCAACGGCATTACTACTAGTAGCTAAAAGCTACTAGTAACAAGGCCGTATTAGTTCCTTCGTCTTTTTCTTTGGACATTCTGGACCATCTTCAAACAAGGTTTTTTGTTGCTATATAGTAGTCATGCGCTTGCTACTACTTGTAGTAGCGATGCCCTTGTTACTAGTAGCGATGCACTTGTTGCTAGTAGGGAGGGGAGCGTTCTTGTTTGAAGCAGTAAGGGGGTAGTTCAGTCCCTTTCTCACTGCTGCGTGAGGTGAGCAGCTTCAGTCGACGCAAAGTTGTAGATGCCTTACCAGAGCCTACTGCTGGCTGACAGAGACAAAGTCATAAGTAGTGACTAAGTGGTGCTTGATAGTCTACTACATAACTAAGAACCACTTCACTAGGCAGTGCAGCAAGTGAGACTTAGATAGACTTGAAGGCAAAGCTTATGAGCACTGCCACCAGCCCGGGATTGGCAGCGCTACTCCTCCAGTCACAGACTTCAGGGAGGCGCAGTTGCTGAGTGAAATTTGTTTCAACAAAGATTGTGTTTTGTGTTTCTTTTTCAGGAAAGATGTGTTCCAGAAGGTCAAGGAGCTGCAAGTTTCAGTTCATGTAGTGCACATATTGGTAGCGGAAAGCCTTGCACACCAGGGGCCAGTGAATTCTTTTGTGGATCTTGAAATGCTTGTTTTTCGGTCAGGCGATGATCCACGAGATGCTAAGCAAGCTCCGTGAACAGCAAACGCAGGACTCACGCCGAGATGCATGGTGCAAGACCGAGTTGGCCAACACACAGACTTCAAAGGCCTGGGTGCCGGTGCCAAGATCATATGAGACATTCGGTGACCACATGGAACCGTTTCGAAGGCTAGCAAAAGTACCAGAGCTGACAAGCTGAAGACTAGGATGCTTGCTATGAATGCTGAGCCCATGGCCCAAGCTCTCCGTCCACTTCAGCCGACACCGGACCACTTCAATGTTCTGCCAAGGCTGGCATCATTGAAATCTGAGATCGCAACAGGCAGAGCTTGGTGTCCAAAACTCTTGGCAAGAAAGCTGCCACTCTTGGCAACGGAAGCCGCAACATTTTTGCATGTTGTGCCTTTTAATGGGATGTTTGGATTCCTTTGGATGCTTTTGGATGCATGCCAGGCAGAGAAGAGATCACCAATATGAGGGTCAGCTCGCAATCACAAAAGCTTCATTCTCACGTAACTGTTAACTTGAGTGCAAGAGCTCCGGCCAGGAAACGCTAAGCGCTGCAACGTTGCAGCGCAACAAAGAGCAGGAAAAGGCAACTGTCCTTAGCTGGTATGAGCGGTATGAGTGGCAGTATCAAACAACTTCCTCCAGGCCAGATCTGACGTCATTATGTATGAAGAGGACCTTGTTTAGACCGTCGGCCTTAGGGGTTCGTTTGAAATGAGGTTTTTGCTCTCTCCCGTCCAGGACCAAAGAGTGCTCAAAGAAGCGTTGGTGGTCCTGAAGCGGGTCTATGGTGAGAGCCCAGTGGTGGTGACCCCAAGGCTTCAGATGATGTCTAGGGTCTGAAGTAGAGCATGTTCAAAGCATTCAATTTCTGAAAGCCTGATCCTGGATGTTTTATCCGATTCAACAGCACGGTGTTGTTTGGGACAAGAAAGACCGGCAAGATGAATAGAGGTGGTTTTTTGTCGCGAAGAGCCGAAGAATCTTCGCCGAACACCCAGGTGAAAAGCGACAAGCACGGGTACACAGCAAAATCACAAGGCCGCGTTGAGAGGAGATTTTCGCTGTTGAATTACCTTGATTGAAAAGCCCGGTATTCTTGCCGCTCTTCTTTTCTTTGCTGAGATGATAATTTACTATTTGTATGAGAGTCAATTTGATGCACTCGAATCTGTTTGGAGGCTCCAGTGTGGTCAGTCTTTTGCAAGTCTCCCTGGAGAATTTTGCAGAGCTAGAGGAGGCGGCTAAGCCTGACCTGAGTCGGACAGTTTGACATGACTCCAACTGGACTTGATGCGGACACAATTGCCCCACCGCATTTCCATGTCTCAAGCCAAGTTGTGACTGATCCCGCATACTACGAATTCCCACCACACAAATTCCAAAGATCAGTCCATTTTGGACCGGTAGGAAACAAGCGCGTCTGAAAAGCAAGCCGCTGCTGATTTCAAGGCAAAGCTCCAATTGAGTCCACTTTTGACACTCTCATTTCAGTTTTGCTTCGGGAGAATTTCAGGAGATGGAATCAACGACCCAAGTACGGCTTGCTACGTTTGAGAAGGAGCGACAGTGCGCCGCCCAAATCTAGGAGAACAGATTGGGGGCGACACCGTCGAATCTGAGTGAGCCATGTGTGTGCAGGACGTTGAGTACAACAGCCAGACATTTACAAAGCTTGAGTCTGATTTGGTTAGAGCAAGCTCTGATCTTGGAAGCTACGAGAAGGAAGTCAAGGACAGACATGGACAGACCAGACCAAACGGTGAGGATGCGACTTGCAAAGTGGTCGAATGTTCAAACACTGAAATTGCTACGATCGATTGTAGGCACTTACAAAGTATTTGCAAGAGCTGGATGTCTCCTGCTCCGACCTGCCGACATGGTTGAAATCAATTGGATGTGTTCACTGTACAGCACCAGCGGTAGCTTGAACAAGCATACTAGTAGGCCAATAATTGGATGTGAGAATGGAATCAGGTAGGTTGGAGTGAAAAGGTACAGTACAAGAAACATCAAACACAATTCACCAAAAGAGTTGGAAAAGGACGCATATTGATCTAGGAACCAAATGATTAGAAGCATGAGCTACTGGTACCTTGCGTCCTACCTAGAAGTGAACTTAGCCCTTACTTAATAAAGTAGGCGCCTCATGTTAAGTTTCCCAAAAACTCTAGAACCAAATTATTAGTGCGAGCACTTCTTCAAGGAAGCTTCCGGGGGAGCTTCCTTGAAGAAGCGTGAGCTATCCTGCGTCCTAAGTAGTACTGTAGCTACTTGTAGGTAGTAGCTACCTAGCTTCTACTAGCTGCCTAGCTGTTACCTAGCTAACTTGCTTACTGTAGCGGCCTAACCCCTCAGGCTCTAAATATATAATATACAGTTACTGTATATAAATATATATATATATATATTTAGTAATTACGAGAGAGGAACCCTATAACTGTGTATAAAACCACTTAGGTTCTCTTCAACGCACTGATGACTCTGGGAGACGTTCAAGATCCCGTTTGCCAGGTGAAAGGTCTGTCGTTTGAAGAGCGTCAGGAAAAGCGGCAGCAACAGTTGGAGTCGCTGAAAGAGGCGCGTTCGGCACCTGCTTCTATTCCACCCTTTTCTTCAAGTCGAGTATTGCCAGGCCCTTCGTTCTTTGAAGAAAGAATGATGAACCTTGCGCAGCCAGTGTAAAAAAGCGATTCCTTGGATTGACCAATGTACCGGCCATTGCAGGGAAACGAGGTGAATAGCTTGGGTTTGTTCTTGGCACAGAAGATTATTTGCAACTAATGGATCATTGGGCAGCAATGGTAGCGAGCATTGAGCTGCGAGTCTTGCAGGTTTTGTGCTCCAGCATAGTCGTACTTGTTGCACTGCTAGCAATCTCAGTTCGCGATGGCTTCGATGTCGGCCCTGTTGAGAGTGCTGTCGTGCATTGTCATGGCCGCCTTGGCA